AGAGAAAACTATAAGAGAAAGAGATCTATCAGCTCCATCTCCTTTACAAATGAACGTAGGAACATTAATTCATGTGACTGAAAAACACATGAATGCTTGTGCATCTGAAAGAAGTCATAAGAAATGTTTAAACCACTATGAAAACAAGACTTACTGTTTTCCTGACATTCTTCATCTTGCTGTTCATAGGCTTTTGAAATGGCAGACACCCCAGAAAAGATTATAAACAAATTAGTTAGGAGACTATCTGCTATGCTTTTTCCTCCTTCACGACTCTGTCCGAGCAAATCTAAAGCTGAACTTATAGACTCCTTGCAAATTCCAGGAAGAAACAATTCAGAAATGCTTGAGCATATGCTGGACTTGTTCAGTAAACCTGTACAAGGTAGAAGCAAAACATACATGCATGAAACTCGTCACAGGAGTGAGCAGTCAGTGTGTCTTTTTAATAACTTATGTAGACATTCACCTACATAAGACGGTCATTCAGAAAAAATGTGTAAAATGTTCTAAATGATTTATAAATTCTTAGTATAAATTCCATAGTGAAATTCTTTAACATGGATACATTTGTTTCAATGATCAAATAAAAAATAAAATTCAACAAATCTAAAATAACTGAATGCATTCAAATATTTGGAAGACAAAAGCATCCTATATTTCAGGAAAAAAATGGTTGTAAAACCTGGCCAAATGCTTGGGGAAACCTCAGGAATTGAATGAATAGCAATAATTCAAGCAAATTAAGTCCCCATATTACTGTATTAGGATTCAGCATCTTTCACCAGTTAACCCACATAGTTAGGCAGAGTAATGTTCTAGATAAATTTCTTAAATTAGGCTCCTAAAGTGCTGGTCAGCAAGCTTTTGCCCTAAGAAGGGATAACCAAAAATACAGAAATCCTTGCTGTTAACACCTTTACATTATAAATTTGAAGGTATCATAAGCAGGAGATTTTTAATTTTGCTTTCCATCCCCAGGTTTTTAAACAACTATCATAAGCACCTGTTTTTTATGCATGTGGTAGGTTCAAATTCTCAGTATGAAATGAAAGGTGTTCTGCCATTTAGCAAATACCTGATATATAGGAAGTCTGTTTATTCTGTATAGATTGCAATTTTATCTCAGACAAACATCCAGAAACTCTCTTGTTCTTCATGAAGCTTCTACTTCTAAGAAAGGGTGATAAAAGAACATGAAAAACATGGAAAAGAAAAGCATTTCCATGATGAGCTACAGCTTGAACAAATGTGCGAGTCACTCATAAATATTGTTATTAGGCTGAAACTTCAAATAACGGACCTAGACCACATTCAATTTACATTGTTATAAAAATGCTTTGATAGCATAGAAGAGGGAAGGAAACATTAAAAACTATACCTGCACTGAAAATTGGAAAGCTCTAGAGACTTTTACCCCGTTTTTTTGTCCATGGAGGAAATCCAAGAGAATGAGTGAACACAAGAGAAGACTCACCAGATGACATAAGTGTATGTGAGTGGAACAAAGCATATTTAGATAATTACACAATGATTTGCTTTGTTTTAAGCATAGAAGAGTAGCTACAAACTACTTCTACCTTCTTCTGGAAAGCAAGGAAATGGAGCTGTCTGAAAGGTCAGGTTCCCACTCATCAGCAGGATCATAAAACACATCAACAGCTTTATTTCTATCATTACTCTGAAAAAATAAAGCAAGGACAGGGAAGGAGGAGAGTTAAAAAAAAGAAAAGTTATAAAGTAGTCAACATATGGATAAACAGAACATAATAATAGAAACTGAAGTTTTTCTATTATTTTTATTATTTCCTTTAGAAATTCAAGTTTTTACAACATAAAACAATTGAACAACCAAAAGAATCACAAAGCAATCCTTGTCTTACTGCTCCTTACTCTCTACACAAAATGACCTGAAGTCACTTGTTTCT